TCCCGCATCGGGCTCCCTGCTCGGCGGGGAGTCTGCTTCTCCCTCTGACCCTCCTCCCTCTCATGCTCTCTGTCTCTCATTCTCTCTCTCGCAAATAAAAAAAAAAAAGGGACTGTGCAGAGACAAAGAGTTCCTAAGGGACGTGGAAGAACCTCCAAACCCGACCACAAGTGGAATGACAAGAAATATCAGGTAGAAAAGTAACGCATTCAACGTACACAGTTCCGGGGGACCTCCTGATGTTCTGTACTGTCAGCTTTGTGAGAGACAATGGCGACCCTCAAGAGAGCGACCCTGGTGAGGGGCCAAGCCTACACGAGCCTAGATGAGGTGTGGTTGCAGGAGACACCCACTCTGTAAGACTAAGTCGGTGTCGGTGCAAATCCAGTGCAGTTCAGGAAGGCATGGCCGACATAACCCCTGGGGCCGACTTAGCTCTTAAGGCCAGAGTCCCACGGAGAGAAGCTGTAGCAATCGGAAGAGGCCCTGCGCGTGCTCCCAGCACTGGCTGCCTGCGGGTGCCCCCGGGGGACCTGAGACCCAGCGCGCCCCCGCACCAGCCTGCAAAGCTCCCCACGCTGGTCTCTTCCCCTTGCCGGGTTTCCTTTCTTGCTCACTCATCCAGTCTGCACACAGACATGTTCGTCCTCTCCCTCCCGACTTGTCCTGGTGCCAGTGTTCCAGGACCCGAGCCTTGGTTCTCACCGACTACTCATTCCCGGGCCTCCTCGCCTCCTGCTTTCTCTGTCACCCTCACGCTGACAACTCCCAAACGTGCGTCTCGGGTCCCACCTGTCCCCTTGAATCCAGCAGCCTTGGCAGCTATAGAGTCGGGTGGAAAAGTCGGGGTCTCCACGTGAACGTGACTGGAACCAAATCCTTCACTGAGCACCGCCAGCCACCCCCACCCCATTCTCCCAGTCTTCTTCATTTTAGGCAATTGCAACGCGTTCTTTATGCTCAGGTACGCATCCCAAAGTACCTCTCTCCCCGACTGCATGCAGTGGCTCAGCAAATCTGTTAGCTCTGACGTTAGAATATCCTCAATCTGACCACATCTCCCGCCTTCACTGCTCCTACCTGGGTCCCAGCTGCCACCCTCCTCTAGGGACATTGGGCAACAATTTCCTATTTTGTCTCCCTTCCTCCACTAGTCCCCCATCCACACCCCCAACAGGCTGTTTTTCACCCAGCAGTCAGAATGGTCTTTTGAAAACACAAATAGGACCATGTGACTCATCTTCCCCAAAGCCTTCACTGGCTTCCTATTTCACACTAATGAGAGTTACCTAAGCCTTAAACCACCTGGCTTTTAGTTACTTGCTGCCGCCAAGGCTCTCGTGTTCTCCCTTTACCCAGACGGGCCTCCCTGCTATCTTTGGGACCGACAGAGGACACTGCTGCCCAAGGGCCTAGCTTCTCTGCCTCCTTGCCCAGGCTTTGCACGCATATGCATTCCCTCATTCAAGTGTCTGCTCAAAAGTTCTCCGCCAACACAGGCCTTCCCTGACCACAAGATCTAGAGGGATGCCTACCTCCCACCCATCCCTTCCATTCACCTGCTGTTTGCTCGGTCACTGACCACTTGACGTTAGACATTCCCCATTCGTGACATAAAGGTCTTTCCTCACGGGGACGGGAATGCTGGGGCGCGTTGTTTGCTGCTGAGTTCTCACACCCCGGGCGCGGGCATGGGGTGGGCGCTCAGATGGGCACTGACCCAATCACTGCCCTTTACCTGAATGCTGCTTCTCCCTCCCTTCTGTCTCCCCCCAGACAACCAGGATGGTGGTCCCTGTTCATGCTCTGTTCACAATGGGAACTTGTTAAGTGAAGCACAGGGTGAATGATTCAACCTCTCTGCCCAGAAAAACCACACTACCACTGGAGAGTCACTGGTAGGTATCTAAGGAGAGGCTTCGGGAGAACCCAGACGACACTCAGGAGGAAAGCATTTTCAAAGAAACAGCATGAAGAAATAGCACCTGGCTTTATAATAACCCTACTCTGAATGATCAGAAAAGCCACAGGTCACACCACAGTAGTATCTTTGCAAGTCAAGAAATCTTGTGTAACTACCTTTCAAAGGATGCAAGAATAAATGCACGTCAAGAGCCTTCTGATGCACTGGTTGTACCTTTATTATGTTTACCTCGTTCACTAGGAGTTCCGTGATGCAAGGTTACCATACACAGTTAGATAATGTCCGCATTGCACATCTAAGGCTATACAGCAAAAGAACCAGAATTAGTACAAATACAAGAACTATATTTACATTCTGTATACTCAAGCTCCAACATCAGATAATATTTACATAATAAAACATGAAAATGAAAATCTGAAATTAATAATGTACATTGTTGCTAATGAGCTCAACTCCTTGCTGGGGAGAGATCAGTTTGCAAAGTCTTGGTTCAGAAAGGCCACACATGCTCCACGGGTTCCGTGGCAGCACACGCGGATGGTGAGAAGAGACCCGAAATCCCGACGGGTGGCCCCTTGCACGCGAGAAGGCCGATGGAGGCCTCAGGCGAGCCGATGCCAGAATGTGCAGCCTGGAAAAAGGGAACTTGAAGACATGAAGACAACACGCAACAGCCAGGGTTTGGCAAGAGACCAACCTCAGCTCGGACTTCCTGAGCACAGCTTTTAACATGAAATTTGCATCAACTCTCATTCTTTCCTTTAAATGATCAGAGGCTTTCTTAAGATTCATGGGGGCTCAAATCCGGATTTCATAAATGGCCTTTTGAACAACCGCAGATAATCTCTCAGCTGACATTGCCATTCCCTACGGAAGCACCATCAGTACATCCCTGCTACTCGGTCATGGTTTGGCCGCACACTGGGGTGAGTCGTTACTGGCCATGGTGGACAGCGCAGTGCCCACGAGTCAGAGTCCTCTTGCAAATACATTCAGCAAACCTTCTGAAAGCTGCAGCAGAATTAGTGTCTTCTTTTTAAGGAGCAGGTTAACATCACATTTTAGAAAGGGAACCCAAAGCAAAAACGAAGGACCCAAGTCAGAGAGACAGACAAGCCCTGACCCCGTCCTGGAGGACCCGAGTGGACGCAGCGCGAGGAAATGGCAGCGTACCGGAACTGCTACGCCCTAGATCATCCGTTCTTTCTCAGTCCAATGTGCAATTAATTACAGTGTATAAATATACAAATACCTTACAAAATTAAATATCCCTGTAAACCACAACAAGCAGCAGGCAATACAGTCTTTGCTTTGAAATGTGCCAGGAGAAGTCATTTTATTTTTAGATCCCTGAAGATCTTTCCCAATGATTTAACTTATTCCTTCATCTTAAAAGAGCTGAAAAAACCCACTGAAAATATGAGTAGCTATAGAAGTTCAATGGTAGCTGAACAGGGAAATAAAAATGTAAAACAAGAGTGGTTTCTTAGCCAGGAAAAATCATTTTCCTTCCCCTCACAGTGATGGCGCAAGTGTTTTAACGATGTGCTAGGATTGGGGTGCCCACCCAGCTGCCAGCAGCTGCCCCTTCCCGCGCCCCTGGCTGTGTGCACGGCTGGTCGGCCCTGCACAGCCTGGCCCGAGAGCTGGCTGACTCCCAGGCAGGCGCAGAGGTGAGGAGGCTGTGGGCACTGGTTTGGTGTGGGCTGTGAGGTCCTGTTTTGCTTTGGCAGGAGAAAGGAGGGTGGGGAAGGAGGGGAGGACATGATTACTTTTAACTAGCACTCATTTCTTCTTAATTTGTGTAAGAGCTTTTTCTTTCTTTTTGTTTTTTGCTTGTTTAAAGGAGTGCTTTAGGAAAAAAACATAAAAAAACCCTCAAAAGGTAGTTTCCTTAAATACCAGTATTAATATTATATTAATATCAAATATCAATTTTTCTGCCACCATGGCTTCAGCTAAATCCTCATAAATAGTTCCTGCCATAAAAGCTCTCTCAGCTTCGAAAGTGGGGATGGATCTGTCCAGAAAGGGAACATTAATCCTGAAACTGTTCCAACTATAATCTGGATATGGGCCGCTAGAGGAAAAGGGGGAACCAATAAGGGCTGTCCTCAGACTTTCGGTGGAAAGCACACCTGCCAGAGACCCCTGCCGGACGCGGATGTCCTGCTTCCTCAGGGGGCCCTCTCCCCCCGGGTGTTACCAACGGTCCAGTTTTACCTGTCCTAATCTCTGACACCTCCAAAGCAAAGACTTTCCAAGCCAGTTCTGAGTGAGAAGAAAAATCAAATGCCATTTCAGAACATGATGTGACTCCCCCTCAGCCCTCCCCACCTCCCTCTGTCACGGACATGGGTCCCTCTGTCAGACTTCGTGACAAACAGCAGCAGCACCCGTGACTTCATTCTACAATGTAACCTTCGAATTTCATCTTCATTTCCCCTGAAATCAGATTTCATTCCAGTCCAGGAGCGGTCTCTAAGCACCAACAGATCCTGGATTTGAGTCTACACCAGAAGGGCATATTGTGTCCATTAGACAACTAAGGAACCTCTAACTACATTAAAAATCTCAAGCACTGCTTAGAAAACAAACATCACAGTTAATGACCTATGTTTTAAGGAGAGGAAGGAAGTTAAAAAAACCTACTGTAGAGTTTTTATTGATCACTTTCCAGCTAAGGTCACAGCCTGGGATTTCTAGCCTGTCTTTTAAGCTCTCCACGATTCATGTTTCCTCCTCTTTGCAGGGCAACTCTACTGAGGCCAGGAGACCTGTTCTTAGCGATGAGCCCAACCAGAAAGTCAGAAGCAAGGGTCTGCTGACACGCGCCTGCCCAGCTCTATTCCACAGCGTGCACCAGCCCCTGCCCCATGCTGCCTGAAGCAGAAAATCAGCCGGTCCCCACCACCTGAGGGGCAGCAACTTCAAGGCTGGAGACCCTCAGTCTCGTGAGGTGGGAGAGGGCAGATACTTTCCTGAATGCCTGAGGGATGGTCAAACAGAGATGTGCGTGAGGGAGATAAAGGATGGTACAAAACACCCCAGGTCAGATGGCAAAGCAGCTGAATTAACCTGCAGGCCTTCTTTTCCCCAGGCCATTCCTATAAAACTTACTGGCAGCTGAAAGAAAGAGTATCTTCTTCCATGATGGCGTCTGGAGGCGGATGACCCTGTTCTGTCAGAGAAGGAGACTGTCAGCAGTGAGCTTCCTCCTTCCTCCTCTGGCAGTTTTTCCACTCCCGTGAAGATAACCAAGGAGAGCGAAGGCGGAGGCAGCAGCAAGCCACTGGGGCCAGGGCTCAGGTGCGCCTCTTCTCTGCCCCCAGGTGTCCTTTTGGTTTTTTTTTTTTTTTTTAGTGGTGGAAGGGGATTGGTTTTAATCCCAGGATCCAGAAAGCAAAACCTGCCTAGTCTGCTTATTTATGATTATAGAGGGAGAAGCATTACTGAAAGTATTTTCAGTTTGACAAGGATCACTGGAAATGACCATTGGATTCAGAGGGAGACTTCCAAGTCTATACTTGAGAGTTACATTTCTTTGATCAAAGGGAGCTACACCCATCACAAGGTCACTACTCAGCATTCCCATCATTATAATGACAACAACGACCATCAAGTTCATTAGCAGAAGTGAGTCACTCCCCCCTTGTGGGACGTTTGTGTATGACATTGTACTAATTCCGAACTGTACCATCACTAATGCCAAGAAGAGAAATGAGAAACTGAGAGAAAAGCAGTTCACAGGAGCGCTGCTGTGAGGAGCTATCCTCATCCTGCTGTCAGCCCGCCGTCATGACCCACTGCCAAGCCCCACGGTCCTCTCAAATCCACAGGCAGTATCCTTGGCCCTTCCCTTCTTACAAGGTCAGCAGCAGCCACTGTTCCAGGCCTGCTAAGAAGTCCTCCCTTCTCTCTTCCACTAAAAGAAAACCGCATAACTACGTTCTAAATAAGCTCCACTTTCAGAGAATACACCTGTGCCATTTCTAAGCTCCCCACAACCTTCTCCCTGAATGGAAAATGCAGGGATTAGCAATGGCAAAGAGATGGAAAGGGAAAAGGTAAGTTTTTTCCTTTTAGGTTCTAAAAAAAGCCAGATGTTTCCTCCCGTAGTCTCTAAGCCACACCCCCCACCCAAAATTGAAGTGATATCACAAAGAGAGAAAAGGAAAAGCATTATGTTGTCTTAAAAAACAGACAAAGATATCCAAAGACAGCAGTACAAGACATCACAGGGGGTCATAATGGGGACCTATCATACAAAAGGAAGCCAAAAGACACAAAAAAATAATTTGGAGATTCACTGGATCCCCTCTGGGTTGTTTTTGTTTGTTTTTCTCCCTTTTGTTAGGCCACATGCTGCTACCAAGATTCTCAGCACAGGAAAAAAGAGAAGGGTACAGAGCAATGGAGACGGGGACCAGGAGAGCTAGCAAGAGTGTTGACAGGAGGGAAAGCAGTTACCCCACAGGCTTACACACGAGAGGGGCCATCAAGAATCACAGAGAGAAGTAAGAGGCAACACTTTCTTTATCTCTCGAAGGCGAGTGAGGATGCTCAGCAGGGTCACTTAGTACTTCGGTTCGCTGGGGCATCTGCGAGAGAGTTTTGACCTACAGGTGACAGAGAAAGAGGATGGATTAGAAAGCTGGATCCAGATGTCTCTCCCCTCACAGGTCTCTCTCCTCTACAGTTCCCTCCTTGAGCTTCTTCCCCTCCAGCACTCAAGTCTCAGGTCTCTAGGCTCCCTGAATAAGCAGGCTAAGCTGCGGGGGCCCCTGGGACACAAGCCCCTCACAGGATCAGAGGCTGGATCACAGGGTGGAATACTGGGAGACCATAAAGGTTTTCACCACCTTCCCCTGACTCAGTCAAAAAATAAAAAAATAAAAAAAAAATCTTAAAAAACAAAATCAAAGCAGGACATTAACTGGGTGCAAATGTGACCAGGTTCCCTTAGCCATTCAGGACACCAGGTGACACCTTATGAGAAGCGGAGGCCTCATCACCACCTTACAATCACACTTATGCTGCTGTCCTCCCTCCCTCTATAGTCAACGTACTTTTTGGGAACAAGACTTCCTTCTCGATTTACACTGACCAGAAGCCTAGGAAAAGAAGGAAACACGAGGACAACTTCTTACCGTATTGTGCCAGCAAGGAGTGGGTTAAAGGCATATAACCAGTCGTTCATGTCTTTGTCATTGAGAGCCTGTAAAAGGACCCCACGATGCTTTGTGCATACAGCAAAGATGTTCGGTGTCTGAAAGAGACACAGGGAGACAGGAGGTTACGATGGCTGCTGACAACGGGGACCACCCTGCCATATTCCCAGGGCACACAGAACCTCATACTGAAGGTTCAGGGAGACCAGACACATAGGAGAGATGCCACACTACACAACAGAGTTCAGAACTCAGAAGGAAAGGGGGCAGGCGGCAATTAGTAGCCAAGAGAGCAGGACTGACCTTCACCATGGCCTGCTGGTCCTCGCTATATTCCACCTGTGCTGTGGACAGGTTAATGATGCCACGCTCCACTGGGTCTTTGTCGCTGTTATAGATAAAGACATAAGGGCGACGGACCACGACAAAATGTTTAGCCCAGTTGCTGTAAAGTGGCTCCTTGAAATGCAGGTATCCTTTCTTAGAGACCACGGAGCTAAAAAGGGCAGTACAAGAGAGGTTAGTTTCTCACAAAAAGAAAGGGATCACGGCCTGAGGAACATGAAAATATGTCTCACCTAGGCCCAGTCCCTAGGATGAACAAAACAGGCAAAAGATCTGTTTGGCCGAGAATCTTCTCTGCTGAAGTTACACAGCAACAGAACACAAAGTACGGCCCCCACAGCATACTGTGGTGTGGTGGAGATGCCTGATAGGACACAAGTGCGGCAGGAACCCAGCCTGGCTCTTTATCCTAGATTCCACTGATATTAGACAATAATATTCACCTCAAGTACAAGAGCGGAGAGTAAATTACTGTGATTTGTCTTTTATACCTGGCATCTCTGGTCAATACAATACTCACCCTGGTCTAATTTCTTCCATATCTGGAACAAGATTGAGAAATTCATTTTTTCCTGCTCGGGCCAAATAAGGTGTTTCCACAGTTGGGACAATCTGAAACTGTTCAAATTCTGGGCAGGGACTAGAGGCCCGGGAATTGGCTTCTGGGGTCCTTTAAAAGAGAAAGGTTAGGGGTAATAGGAGCTTCAGCAAGGTCAATGCATAATGTGTACAACCCTCTCACCAGGAGGAACAAGCTCTCCCCTTAAGAGCAGGGGCCTTGCAAACATCAGTTTCAGAGAGCTAAGACAAGCTGGTGTCAGAAAGTTAATTCCAACTTCAACTGGGGTCATCCTTTAGAAGTTACAAAAGTCACCAAGGCCCACAGTCCCTCTTCCTACTCTGAAGCCCTCTGAACAGAAGCGTCTGGGGCATGAACTCCATTCCCTTACATGTTTCTATTTCGTTTCAAGGCCACAACTAGGGCAGTGATTCTCAAAGTGTAATCCCTGACCAGCAGCATCAACTTCGCCTGGAAACTTGTTAGAAATTCAAATTCTTGGGCTCCAACCCAGACCTACGGAGTCAGAAACGATGAGTGGAGTTCAGCCACCTGTACTTTTAACAAGCCTCCCAGGTGACGCTGGTGTGCACTGACCTCTGAGAACCACGGAGAAAGCAAACGAGTGGGAAGAAGCTGGCTTCTGGAACGACCGCCGACTGAGAGCGGTCGGGACCATGACATGAGCAGGAGCTCCTACGCTCTGCACCATGGGTTACCGTAGAGCAGCTCAGCCTGATGAATTGTATCCCATCAACTCTAAAAAGCCCATCTTTTAATACTTCACCATTTCTCAAGTTGGGATGCATCGTACAATTGATGACACATTTTGGTTGGCAGTGCTTTTTTCTTTCGTAGTGGCACATAAAGTAATCGCAAATTAATTCAATTACCTGGTTGTGTTATTTTCTCAGCCACACTCAACTGTCGCCATGTTGGTACAGTAAGACAGACAGCTGGACGATACCCAGGTGGGTTCTGACAGGTGAGCACAACGAACGGAGACGGGCCAGGGAGTGTGATGGTGAGTCACAAACAAGTGATTACAGTGATGAATTCATGGGATCTAGACTACATTTGTCTCTATGATTCTTACCAATATGTTTTATTGTGCCATCAAATATATTTTCCAAACTAGTTTTAAACTGTTTTCCCCAAGATGGGACTTGGTCTGTCTGGTATGACCGGGGAACCAAAAAGGAGTGGGAATGGAAGGCCAAAATGAGCAGGAGAGGGATTCAGAAGAGGAACCAAGGGTTTTCTTGCAGAAAGTTGGTGAGACATGGTGTTAGAAGGTACAGGAGCATCTCCCTGGGACTGTGATACCCAGAAAAGGCTCCCACATACTTCTGAGTGCTGCCAAGACGGATGGTCCTGCCCTCAGCAGAGAACCACTGAGCTAGAGGAAGGCTGGTGTTTCTTTGGTTCTTAGGCTAGCTTCTCTCAGTGAAGTCTGGGTACTTGCAGCTTCTTTTTTTTTGAATGTATGTATGTATTGTAATCATTACCACCAACGTGGGGCTTGAACTCAAGACCCCGAGATCAAGAGTTGCATGTTCCACCAACTGAGCCAGCCAGGTGCCTCTTTTAATTATGATTATTATTTTTTTTAAAGTAAACTAGGGTACTTACTTCTGATCCAGAGAGTTGCTCCTAGCCTCCACCAGAGAAGGGCAGGTGGAGGAGGGAGTGAGGGTCGCACTGCTGAAACTGGACACAGAGGGATCCCGTCCGATAGGAGAGATATCAGACAACTGGAGGCAAACAGGAGACAGCCAGTGAGATGCAGCTGAAAACCCAAAATACCTCTGCAACGAGGAGCTTTGACACCCAGTGACCTCACATTCGTGTATCTGCTGCTGTAGGTTATTCAAGAAAACGACTTATAAATACTTTATGACCTGAATGTCACATTAGGAATCATTTACAAAAGAGGCAAGGCTGGCTTTTTATTTTGTGACACTCCTGCATTAATTAAATGAACCTATCTCTACGAGGCCAGTATTTAGAACAACAGGCACTATTCTAAGAATATGGCAGAAGCCCTGCCCTCCTGGAGCTTACGTTTTAAGTGGAGAAGGCAGACGACAAACAAATCAACAAACACTTTGCAAAGTGTCAGGTAGTCCTATGATCCAGTAATTCTACTACTGGGTATTTACCCAAAGAAAATGAAAATACTAACTCAAAAAGACATATGCACACCTATGTTCACTGCAGTATTATCTACAATAGCTAAGATATGAAAGCAACTCAAGTGTCCATTGATAAGATGAATGAATAAAGAAGATGATCTATATATACAATGGAATATCATTCAGCCATAAAAAGGAATGAGACCTTGCCATTTGCGACAAGATGGATGGACCCAGAGGGTATTACGCTAAGTCAAATATGACCAAGAAAGACAAATACCGTATGATTTTACTTACACATGTGGAACCTAAAAAACCGAAACAAAACCAAGCAAAAAACCAGACTTTTAAATACAGAAAACAAACTGAGGGGAGACCAGTGGGGGGATGGGGGAAACAGATGAAGGGGATGAAGAAGTACAGACTTCAAGTTATAAAATAAGTAAGTCACGGAGATGAAAAGTCCAGCATCGGGAATACAGTCAATAATACTGTAATAACGTCGTGTAGTGACAGATGGGGACAATACTTATCGTGTGGTGAGCCCTGGGTGATGTACAGAACTGTTCAATCACTGTGTTGTATGCCTGGAGCTAATTTAACACCGTGTGTCAACTACATGTCAATAACACAAAGCATCAGGTAGTGGGAAGGGCTACAGCAAAAACTAAAGCAGGGAGAGAGGTCAGACAGCTTCAGAGAGCTGCTGCCTTTACAGAGGGGGCTAAGGAGTTCATTTTTGAGCTGAAAAATGGACAAGAAAAGGGCGCCAATCATGGGCACTTCTGGAGGAAGACTATCCCGGGGAAAGGGACAGCAAGGCTGCCAAGGCCACCTAGGCAGCTGGAGTCTGAGGATCAGCAAAAAATGTCACAATGACTAAAACTGCATGAGCACTGCAGAGGTTCTTTAAAGTGCTCACCTCACTCTTTGTTGAAGGCGACAACATTTAATGCCACCACGAACCTCAGGACTTCTGGTGTCCTGTCACACAGTCACATACCAGCCCCTACAGAATCTCCTCCAAGGGATTCGGGGAAAAGCCAAAATGTTTCCCATCTGATAACACTCTAAGAGACACAGGGGGATGCCTTTATCTGCAGAAGTCAGTGTTCTGCCTCTGAGAAATTAAATAAATACAAGAGCAGATATGCCCTACATCCTCAGACCCAAAGCTACACCCATCTGAAACCACCTCAAAGCAGGGAGCCTGGGACGGGAAATCTGAGCTGCTCACCTTACAGTCGCTGATGCTGCCGTGCACCTGGCTGAACTCCCGGTTGAAGGTGTGAGTGAGAAGTTGCAGGCACTAGGGAAGAGAGAGGAAAGTGTGAGTTTCAATGGTTAAATGAAGCCCTGGATGCAAGGCAGGAAGAGAAAACAACAGGCTAACACCCACAGGGGAGCTCAGGTGCTGCCGCAACAACTCTAGAATTAAGTAAGAATTTAGCAAGGGAAGCCTGGAGTATGCCTAACGGAGACAAATTAAGTGGATAAAAGGGCCATTCTCAAGACGACGAAAGCAAATAGCTGCCAACACCACAGCTGAGAAGTGCTTAAGAACACAACAGTGCCCCTTCCGATTTGTCCTGGTCCTAAAAGTCATGGACACTTCTGGATGGACCTATTTTTCTAAACTGACTAGAAGACTGTTTGGTTATTGAAACAACACGACACAGAAGCCCTCTCACCTCTATATTCCATTGTGGGCCAGTTGTCCAGACACCATATGCCTGAGTGTCATCCTCAGCAACCCCTCTGCCCTCTCCCACCCCATCTGGGCAACAAGGAGTGCCGACTCTACCTCCCCAAAGTCTCTTCTGTGACGACTCTTCCTCTTCTCCCTGCAGCCTCCCGCCTCAGCCGAGACCCACACCATCTCTCATCTGGAGCACCGCAATAAAGAGCTCTTTGGGCCTCTAGGCTCTGTCACCCTAAACCCACCCTCTTTCTTGCTGCCACAGCAATCTTCCTAAAACACAAACACCTGTTTAAAATATTTCCACGTCACTCCCAGGACACTCTACACACTAGTCCAGTCCCCAGATCCCGCAAGATCTGGTCCTGCCCCAAGTCTCTGACTCCATGCCCTGCCCCTCCCCACGGTCCCCATGTGATTCCCTAGCACTGAACGTGTAGCCTATGAGGCTCCCCCTCTGGTGCAGCCTTCCAAGCTCAGCTCAGCAGCACCGGCCCGTGGAGGCCTCTCCTTGGGCTCCCCCAGACTCCAGACACACACCTCTATTATATGCTTGTCACCGAGTCACCTGTGAGTTCAGTAAGGATAGAAATGGAGTCTTATTTATTTCTACCTTCACAGCTAGTACAGGCCTTGAAACAGAGGCCCTCAAAGGAAGATGAAAACGAAAAATCCAACTAGCTCACAGGAGTCTCACGGTGGGAAAATGCTCGGCAACGAGGAAGGGATTCACACCTTGGTAGCCAGCTCCTTCTCTCGATCCACCAGGCTTTCAATGTCTGTCGAGTCGTAGCCGCTGCTCTCACTGGGGGTGATGGCGCTTTCAAAGGTGGTGGTAGAGATCTGAGAGGAGATGCTGGTGGAGGTGCTGAGGGTCCCACTGCTGAGGCTGGGGGACAACGAGTCACTCAGGGATTTGGGGATGCTGTCACCAAGTCTCTCACGCAGCAGCAGGAAGTGGCGAGTTTTTTCCACCTAAGAAGATCAACACAAATGCCTCAGCAAACATAAAGCTTGTTAAGATTCTTTTTTAAAAGACTTATTTGTTTGAGAAAGCAAGTGTGTGCACATGTGAACAAGGTAGGGAGGGGCAGAGGGAGACTGAAAGGGACAGAGAATCTTTAGCAGACTCCCCGCTAAGCAAGGAGCCTGACATGGGGCTCGATCTCATGACCCCAGGATCATGACCTGAGCCGACAATAAGAGTCGGACACTTAACCGACTGAGCCACCCAGGCACCCAAAGCTCGTTATCTTAATAAGCAAAATATGCCTCCATCATAACTGAAAGCTGAAAAGCCAAGATCACACAGAGAAGGTGAGTGTGACTGATACTTTGGAAGTCGTGCTCCAGAGTTCATCTGAGCGTCTCCTGCCCTTGGATACCTCGTGAAGGAGCTCCAGCTTCTCTAACTCCCACTGGTGCTCCAGGATGAGACTGTCCCCGCGGGGCCGCCAGCCTGCTAAGTTCTCTTCTCCCCGCACATAGGCCACAGACGTATCCAAGATTTTTCTTCTCCTCCTCTGCATGCCTGAGACAAGAGGAAATAATTTTTTTTCAGAGAAAAATCTGGTTGCATTTTTAGCTCAAAACAAACTAGTAATTCATATACATGGCAAACCAACACAGTCAAGATACAAGGGATTTTGATTATTAATAAAAATTCATCCCTTTTCCCTCAAAGCAATTCTCTGAACTTCTTTTAAAACAGTTTTACATTCTTTGATAACTATGAAGACTACAATGCAACTTTAGAAAATGCCCAAATTATTGTATTAAGTGAAAATATAGAAAGACTGACTAGTCTGTACCCTATGGTTCCAAATATATAAAATTACACCCATATGAAAAAAGTAAGAAAGGACCACCTCTCCACCCCCAACCACACCCCACATTCAGGAGCTTAATTGGGACTGCAGATGACAAACAGCTTCAGCCCCATCATTTTCCATTAATTTTAAAAAATGTTATACTGTTTTTACATATCAAAGACACAAATTAATGTTAAGTAAGAAAATTTCTCAAGGATGTATCCGGACACTATAATTAGCTGCTATTGAGACTTGGATTCATACTCAAAATTCTTATTTTAATCTAAATCTTACCTGTGGGACCTGACCTTCTTCTGTATATGTTCTCTAAAATGAATGACCAAACTCACCTTAATCAAATGTTTTTTAAAAACCCTGACTTTTGTCCACGTTCCAGCTTATAAACATAGAACTACAAAGGGCTGCCTAAGGCCACCAAGCTAGAGGAACAGCAGCAGGCCAGAGAGACATCAAAAAGGACACAGCACAGATTCAGTTTAATAATTTGTCTCCCTAGAGCACAGGAACTTCGAATTCTAGCTTGACAGCACCTGTTAAGTTACATTTTGCCAAGATATCTTTGGTGCTAACGTGGAAAGGGAAACGGTTATGAAGTTTGCCAAGCCAAATTCATTCTAATAGACCCAAATTTTGTTATAATATATTGCAACCTTGTGACATTTTGTTCAATACAGTTTTTATAACTGTTTTTGCAGGTCACAAACCAAATAGTGTTGTAACTCAGAAAAAGGTAACTCTCATCACCACCAAAAAACTGGCTTATAAAATAAATATACCTGGTTTCTAAAAAATTTTCTATCTATCCTACATGGGTAGGATAGATTTTTGACATCATATACTCCAAACACAGGCAAAGATAACTATCACCTCCCCAATCCATACGGGCTTACCTGGACTACCCGTGTCTGCCATTTTGCATAAACTGAGTTCATAAATTCCAGTGACTCGATTGCTATTCGAATTAAAACAAACAACTGTTTAGCTTCTTACAGCACAAAAACAGGAAAATCTCAATTCCTTCTACTTAAAACACGGTCTCCTGTGTAGGGACTACAGCCCACTCTCAAATATAATTACAGACATTTCTTATTTCTTTTCTTATTCTGAACTTAAGAAGTATATTTTTCCTAGAAGGAGTTTGTTTTCATCCCAATCTTTTGAATTACTTCAACAGGAGGACTAAAATTGAACGATAAACTCAAAAGTTTATTAATACAAATATAAAAAATAAAAATCTGCCTTACCACAAGAGAAGAGATGAGGGGGAAAGTCTGACTAGAATGAAACGATGAGCATCAAATTTGGGGGCATGTGATTAGGAAGGGTACTGAACCTTCCACGTATTAGCAACACTTATTAGTTAGGCTGGATAGTGAGGCACGGTAATCCCTGTATTAGTCTTGACGTATTTTGATATACCTTAAATAGGAATAAATCTTTAAAAGAAGAAAATCCCAGTGGTAATCAGTTAGAATTAATGACATCTGAAAGAACATTTAGTCCCTGCAAAATTGTTCTGCGAGTGCTCACAATGTAATACTCCTTCCTTCCTTCACACACTCATGTGTCCATCAGTATTGCAGTAAATGCCAACACTCTGAAGTTACTGCACTCCTGGTATCAGGTTGTAAGCCAACCCTGAAACAGCAGGCGAGGGACACCGAGGGCTCAGCTGCTTCTGTAGGGGGCAAACGAGCTGGAAGCTACATTTGTCTCAGAAACTTACGAGTCTGGTGACTTTGAGTAGCCGCTGCCGAAGAGGCTGCGCAGAGAGCGTGGAGGTGAGATCTTGGCATCCCGGGAGTAGAAGACCATGCACACGTCCTTGGTGATGACTGCTGGCTGGATGCAATGATCCAACTGAAAGCACAAATGAGTGGGCTCCATTTAAATGCAGACAGAGCGTCTGTGGCAGGACTCTGTGCACTAGGTTAGTCGGAAAGCTGGTGGGGGCTGGAAGATTTACCCAGAGGTGGGGGCTGGAAGATTTATTTCAGCTCTACCAATTACTTCAACAGCAGCTCGGCAGATAATGTGTGCAAGACTAGGTCGTAGTCCTTGCAGCTGCTTTCTTTTCCCCAATTTTTAAAAAACTTTCTTCTGAAATAATGGCTAATAGTTATTATTTATTATGTGCCAAGCACTGTTCGAATGCTTTTATATCTGACCTCTCTACACCTTTCTGAGGTAAATGCCATCATTACTACTCCTGTTTAAGAGATGAGGGAATTGAGGCACAGAGAGAGCCCCTGTGGAAGGACATGCTGGCAGTAAGTGGCAGCACCGGAATCCGAACTCAGACAGGCTGGTTCTAGGGTCTGTGCCGTTGATCACTACCAGGCTCTGCCCACAGCCGCAAAAACAAGAGGCGAAGTTTTCTTTAAATTGTATCTTCTTTGAAGAAGGCGATTAGGTTACTAAAACTGAAGTTATAATAGAAGCCATATGACTTTAAGTTTATTTATTATTTTTTTTTAGTAATCTCTACACCCACTATGGGGCTTGAACTCACGACCCCAAGATCAAGAGTCGCACGCTCTTCTGACCGAGCTGGCCAGGCGCCCGGTCGTAGGATTTTTGTGATTACGTAGAGATGAGGAACAGAAGCGAATACAATCAGAACAGTAGCCAACAGTTGACAAAAAATGCAGCCGAATCTTTCCTCCTCATTTCTTGTGGTAATCTGCCCACTGTTCAGGCCTAGCCATTCACGGTGATTTAGGTTCAAAGTCTCCTCACCTCTAGGTACGCTGACAAGGTCATATAGATCTTTTCCCCATAGGGCGTCACTCGGTTCAGAAGAAGAGAGTTATGGAGGGAGCTGTCCCACACGGCCTCGAAACGGTAGAAGGTCCTGAGGTCAGAAAGGCAAGAGGGAGTCATCCAGAAGAAGTGAAGTCACCTTAGTCCAGGTTCTCTGTCAGTAACACTACCGAATCCTACACCAACAAACACTTGGAATATACTGAGATCATTTAATGACACGGTGGAGCCTTTATCCCCTAGAAGGAAAAGATAGGCCCCCAGTCTCTCGCCCCACCCACCATCCAGGAGCACTTAGCTATGCTTTTTTTTTTTCTGGACAAGCCTGCTTCTCTGCCTATAAACATAAAAACAGATCAATCAAAGAGATTAAGATTGCCTGTGGACAGAAACTAAAGGAAGAAAGCCTAAGTAAGCGCCTCCGCAGTCAACAAATAGGGCAGGAAGCAAATCCTCAGGAGCCTGCAATCCTATCTTCACATCCCAGTCCAGTTCCGCTGTGCCTTCGAAATGTCACAAACACCTGGGAGGCCTGACAGAGAAAACAGGCAGAATAATTTAAGTACAGAGAGTCTAATTTTAAATAAAAGAACAGGAGGCTATTCTTAGCTGATGTTTAAGTAAAAGAATGATTTTAATACCAAAGCTGGCTAACTATTTGTTACTTTTCAAAAAAAATCCACATGAAAAGCAATCTTCCGCTTCAGTAACAACTAGAAGCTTGACTTAATAAGCACCCAGAAACAGTTTTTTAAGTTGTTCTAATATCTTCCTTTTCTCCTACTGGTAAAGTCCCACAGGCCTGACCTGACATCCGTTCTGCCAGTTCTGCAGCATCGTCTGAAGCACCGCACTGAGTTACAGCCCAGCTCCCAGCTCTGCCCGCAGTGCCCTCCACCCCCACTCCGGCCCCATGACAAGTGTCTACTATGCACAGTGCACGTTCCATCACCACTGGCTCACACCCAGTTCAGCGAGAAAGACTTTCTGCACACTTTGCTTCCTTCTACATTCCTCCTTGCTCCTTCCCAATAGTAACCTTGCTATTGCTGTCTTTTCTAGATTTCCTATAATAAATAACTTCCCTAAATCAGATGAAGAGAGATGGGAGAAAGACTTCCTTCACTACTGAACCAGGATTTTTTTTCTACCCCAAAAGAAGAAAATAGATGAGACAAGCAGCTCTGACAGCAGAAAGAGAAATGTTTAAAAATAAACAACCTATTTCTCACAGACTCAGCTTCCCAAATAGCCGAACTGGTCTCTACTACCTCACAGGATAAAACCAAGAAAACAGTGAATAATTATGCAAAGATACAGAGCAGCAAACCTTCAAGCTTCTGAAAGAGAGGACAGACAAGGAGAAGAGAAGACCCAGGCTGAGATTTCATATGAAAGGAGGGGGAGTAACACTCTAATTTGTAATCTAGCAGAAGAAAAGCTGAAGGTGCATAAGAATAAAATGGACAAGAGTTTAGTAAATGGGATGAGAAAAGAAGCGCTCTACCAATCACTTAAGAAGCTGTATGTGAAATTGTACACACATCAGGAAAAGCCAGGGCACAAGATAAGGTGCTGCTCTATCCTAGGTCTGCATGGGGAAAAACTACTAAATTAAAACAGTAGTCTAAGCAACATAAGACATAAAGCATTCTGATAAACTAGAATCTTTATGTGCAAAAAAGCAAACAGAAAATACCTAGGAATATCCTTATCAAGAAAGAGCCTGCAAAAACACAGAAAAGGCTTTTGTTAGTGCAGTTGTGGAACAAAAAAGTAAAGGAAAAAAGAGAGAAAAGCAAAAGAGAAAAAAGTATATAAAAAAGGACAAATTTGCTGTTAAGCAAAGTGAATCCAAGTGGACAATTAACAGAGAACTCCGTGGGGCACAATTTGATAGACAGCTTACAATGACATGGGTCCCTCTCCTGAGACATTTAATTAAGGAAAATGCTGGGCACAGAAGGGATGGTGAACACCACCTCTATTAACACCTGTCTGCAGGTGACTCGGTACTGGAAATGGTAGGAAGCTGCTGTGGAGTGAAGGGAAAACCAAGTCAATTAGGTAACACATAAGCAGGACTGGGAAGAAGAGCAGCAGTGGCCCTTGTGGGCTACACATCCAATGAGCACGCTGGAATAGCTCTCACAGATAAATGTACATCACACACCCAAACTGCAGTTCTTTAAGTTCAACTTCAAACATTAAACCTTAGGCAAACAGAACAAAAGCTCTCTTAACTAAATTCTACTTAGCAACTTGCCAAATTAACTTATGCTCTCTGTATTTCCTAATATAAAAAAGGATGTCCATTTTGCAGTGAGCATCCTAAACTAGTGGTATCTCATATGCCAGACAGTTGGCTTCTAAGAGCTGAGTATTGTGCTTATCAAGTATCAACAGTATTTGGTCCTGAACCTGTTTATACAGTTGTACTTATTATAATCATCTAATTTAATAAAATATTAGGCAAATCCATGAAACATGAGGGCAAAAGGAATTTTTGTTTAGTGCGAAACAAAACTAAATTTAACTTTATTTATTTATTTATTTGGAGAGAGAGGTGAGAGCATGAGTGAGCAGGGGGAGGGGCAGAGAGACAGAATCCCAAGCAGGCTCCATGGTCAGCACAGAGTCAGACACAGGGCTTGATCTCACGACCTGATCCAAAATCAAGAGTCAGATGCCCAACCAATTCTGAGCCACCCAGGCACCCCAAGTTGAATCTTTTTAAAAGATGTGAAAATGCTGAGTTAAAAAACACCTGTTAAGTTTGGGTATGATCAGTGTAAAAAAAAAAGGGGGGGGCAAGTAATAAATTTTAATGATAAATGATAAAAAGTTTAAAGGATTTTGCATTTAGATTCTTCATAGGTTTCTAGTTCTTGTTCCACCAAACTAAAAACCAGATGATGAATTATGGGCATGGTTTTGCAAGAATAACAATCAGAAGTTCAATAAATGAGCCTACAATTTAAGGAAAGGCTTTGGCCCTACGGTAAGAGCTTGACAAGTTAATGTACGTTTATATAGCTTAAATTGTTTAAAGTACGTATCTTTTTTATTATACCTAACTTTAGCCAACTTTTTTGATTAATTAACTCTAAACTTCTCCTGTGAAAGAAGCTGCTTCTAACAAAAGCCAAATTAATCTACAGCATCTGACCTGTAGCTGGGTATGAATCAAAGGACTTTTGAAGGTTACTCTAATGCAGGCAACCAGCATTTGAACCAAACATCATTGTTCTGTGTATTTTGCTAAGTATTCTAGGGAAATTTAAGATCTATTTCTCATAGTTGCCAAGAAAATATGGTGAATGCCACCTGAATATCTGCTATCAACGTCCAGCTGGAGAGAATACCATGTGGGGTTAATGTTGACTTCAGAGAAATGGCATTCTTCACGATTCTGCCCAGGAATAGATCGGGCAGGGCCAGAGCATGCTTCTTTACCTCTGCCACCCCTCCCCTACCGGCACACCCTCACATTCCTTCCCTCTCTCTCACAGTGCCTGCAGCTCCACCTACAGGCAAAAAGCACACAGACAGTTGCTTTTTTTCCCTCTTTCTATGCAAAACTGTAACACAAGGAAACAACGGAAAAAAATTAATCCTGGCCCAAACTTCTAATCCTGTTTCTGCTTTCTGTCTCCTTTTTCCTCTCCCTCTTTCCAACACAGATGTGAGCACGTTTTTGAGGAACAGGGAGGGGTATATAGAAGTCCTCCTGTAATGCAAAGGCCACATCAGAACACAGAGCCACCTCTGCTCCCCAGCCCTTGCCACATAAAGGAGTGGGGTCTGTGCACAGTGACTTAACTCCTTTCCTGGGGACGGAGGGGGGCCCCAAGAGATTTATCTCCAGTCGGACATGGGAAAGCAGACTGGCTATGGACTTTATGCACTGTCATCACTTGATTATAAAATGGAATTTTAAGGGAAACTAATTTAAAATTTAAAGTAAAATTCACTATTTATAGCAGACAACCTTGTTCAGAAGAGTTTATATGTATTAATTTATCACCTTTATGAGTAAATAAAAATGAAAAGCAAACACTGAGACTCCTGGAGCCTCTGCTGGCAGCGGCCAAAGCTAAACACAAGACGGTTCGCTATGCCTGGGAGGGCATGTTTCCATGACACTCAGGACCAACAGACCTTTCTCCACAGTAACCCCTTCATAGGAAAACACTTAGCTCAGCAACAATTAATTTGTACTTTTAAACCCTTGGGTAGCATGCTGCATTTTCTTTTTCTGTTCTTGTCTCTCAGACTCTGTTACATCTACTCTAACTCCACACAGGACAGAACATTTTCATTCTATACGGATAACTGATCCACATACACCGATCTCTATTTATTTATTTACTTTTGGAGAGCAGGGGTGCAGGGAGGAAAGGGATGTCTGAAGTGAGAAAGGAATATGTTTCTGCACCTGAACAGCAGTCACTGGGTGAAAAAGGAATCTAACGGGGGAGCATCAGCCCCCAGAGTGTGGACTCATCGGGCTGCATAGGGGCCCTCCCTACCTGCTGGAGTTATGGGAGGACTTCAGGTACTTGGCGGAGATAATATTTAGAGAGAGGATGGCATCAACCGCAGCCTCATCCACCTCAGCCTTATTCCTGATCCGGCCTACAAGGAAGAATAAACAAACTAGGACAGGGGTACACTTAAAAACCAAGGGAGATTCATTAAGCCAAAGAGAAACTTTTAAACCCAGGTACCTTCAGGTGCTGGAAGGTCACGTGGCTCACCACTGAGTGGTCTCCCACAATCCACGTCGCCTTCCACTTACTTCCCACATTTAGTCCACTGTGAAACCTGACGGACTCTGTTCAAAAAGTTTCTCATATTCATCTCAACTTTAATTTCTGATACCACTGCCTGCTCACAAAGGTCATCCCCTTCCTGTCTGGAACACTGTGGTGGCCACGGCACTGGCCTCCCGGCTGCTCACCTCTCCCCCTCTCCAATCCACCCCGCGCTCACTTTATATAAACTTCTTTAGCCACCACCTTCATTATACCACTTTCTTGTTCAAAATCCTACAACCATCTTCAAATTAACACTAGGGGAACCCTAGGGGATGTATGGCATAGAGGTCAAGAGCACAGCTTAGGGAGCTGGACTGCCTGGGTTCAAATCTCAGCTTCAACACTTTCTGGCTGTGAGGCTTAGGCATATTGCTCAACCTCTGAGTCTTGGTTTCCTCCTCTGTGAGGTGGGATTAACAATTCTTCCCTCACATGATTGTTACAACCACGTTATATGTTTGTTATGTTATATTAAATAAACTAATATTTCTAGAGCATTCAGAAATGTACCTGTTACAGAGTAAGCACTACATAAATGTTCATTTAAAAAAAAAAAAAAAAAAAAGCTTGAAAACCACTGCCCTAGACAGTAGAGTGTAAAATCTCCCTTCTAAGGGTTCTTAGTCTAGTCCATAGATACTCAAAGGGTCTGTGTATAGAATTCAGGAGGTCTATGTGCTTAAATGGGAAAAAAAATTACAACTTTATTTTCATAAACTTCTGACTGAAATTTGGCATTTCCTTCAATTATGAAAGGAGAGGACAACCCACAGGAAAATCAGCAGTACCTGTGACTCTGTCCACAGTAGAAATCATAGAAGTTTTCATATCATACTAAGGTAAAATATCCTGACATTCATTACACTCTGAATGATAGAAATCAGACCCACTGCTTCTTTAATGCATTTAATGCATTAATATAAATAACAGGGTTTTTTTTAAGATTTTATTTATTTATTTGACAGAGAGAGATCACAAGTAGGCAGACAGGCAGGCAGAGGGAGAAGCAGGCTCCCTGCTGAGCACGGAGCCTGATATGTGGCTCAATCCCAGGACCCTGGGATCATGACCTGAGCCGAAGGCAGACAGACACTTAACCGACTGAGCCACCCAGGCGCCCCTAAATCACAGTTTATATTATAAATCTGTTTAGTATTTGAGAAATTTCAGTACCATTAGTTCCCTTTGTAATCCTATGTACAGTTGACCCTTGAACAACAAGGGTGTTATTGGGTGTGAACTGCAAGGGCCACTTATACACAGATTTCTTTCGATAAATACAGTCAGCATTGTAAATGTATTTTCTCTTCCCTCTTCCTCTTTTTTTTTTGAGAGAGCACACATGCGTGAGCTGAGGGGAGCAGAGGGAGAGGGAGAGAGAGAATCTTAAGCAGGCTCCAAGCCCAGCACACCTGACACGGGGCTCAATCTCACGACCCTGAGATCACGACCTAAGCCAGAATCAAGAGTCAGACACTTAACCGACTGAGCCACCCAGGCGCCCCCTTACAATTTTCCTAATAACATTTTCTTTTCTCTAGCTTTTTAAGCATATAGTATATAACGCATATAACATACAAAATATGTGTTAATTGACTAAGTTATTGGGAAGGCTCTGGTCAACAGTGGGCTGTTAGCAGTTAAATTCTGGGGAGTCAAAAGTTAAAAGTGAATATTCAACTGTGCTTATTCTAACCTCATGTTGTTCAAGGGTCAACTGTACTTTATTTTCTACATTTAAAAACATAATTTTGAGGCTTCACCACTGTCAAAGGGGTTCATGGCAATAAAAGATTCAGAACCCTGCCTTAGACTCTAAAGCTTACATGGTTTAGTCAATTTTTTCTTTTCATCATGCAACCCTGGCCATGGGTTTCTAGCCATTTGCATTTTAGAGACGTTCCTGACTCTCTTACTCAAGATGTTTCTGTGTGTGGAGAACAAAACAAAAGAGATGAAAACATCCTTTTTGCTGTTAATTCTCAGCACAGATCTTTCTCACTTGCCCTCACACTTACTCATCAAACTGTTTTGTTATTTTTTTTAAAGTATATATATTTATTTAAGTACTCTCCACACCCAGGGTGGGGCTCGAACTCAGGACATTGAGATGAAGAGTCGCACACTCCACCAACTGAGCCAGCCCGGTGCCCCAAACTGTTTTAAACATCCATAGCTTGTCTCCTCAACGAAACTGCAAGCTCACAATGAGCAGAAACTTCTCTTATGCCCTTTCTGAGCCTCTAGCACAGAACCATTCCCACAGTAACAGAGTAAAATAAAGATTGGTTGAATAACATATCCCTAATGATGGGGGCTGAGAAACAAGAGTAGTTTCAAACTACACATGTTCTCCACACTCTGTGTTTTCCAGTACTCCTTCCCCACATTCCCCACGCTCCTCGAAGAAGCCTGGCTCCAACCTCAGCCGATGGAATGTACTCACCTACCACCAGCTCACGAACATCCTTCCAATGGAGTTCACTCCCCTTCTCGTGGATGATGGTCACTGTGATCCTTCGCTGGATGCCCTAGGTAACAGAGCAGGGTTGCAGTTTAGCTGGCACAATCTATGACTTCTGGACTGTATGGTGTAGGGCTGGGCAAGAAGAGGTCTGGAGAGAGGGGGAAACGCTGCCCCACTGTTACTCTAAACAAAGGGATTTAGGTCAGGGGATGAGGAAGAACCAGGTTCTGACATGGCTTTAAGAACAGATGACCAGATCGTATGACCCAGAATATGAGACCCTCAGCTCCTATGCCCACCTGGGTTATAAGCATTTTTATTTTTAAGTAATCTCTACACCCAATGTGGGGCTTGAACTCACAACCCTGAGATCCAAAGTCACATGCTCCACAGATTGAGCCAGCCAGGTGTGCCAGTCAAGCACTGTTGAGCACTGACTGAATCTACCCTTGATTTACAAAAGGAGGACCTACATTTCATGGCCAGATTTTTAGTCCACTGCAACTTCCATCCTCTATCTCCATTAAGAACTTTCAACTGTGAAAGCACAGTTTCCAAACATGAAAACTGTATATAAGAAAATAAAATTGTTTAAAATGACATGGGAGCTGCACAAATTATAATAATTGAATAAAACAATGTCTTTTTCAAAATAGGTCCTCTAAAATATATTTATATATATAAGCAAGGGTATAATATAAGCCAAGGTCTGAGGAAGAAACATTAAAAAACAAACACACAAAAAAAGAAAAAAAAAAGAAGGACAAGGTCTCTTCAATCCCCAAATCCACTTAAAATGAAGAGGAAAAGCAGAGAGACAGAAAGAGCTCTGTATCCGTCCTTCCTAGGCCCTCTCTGGCTCCCTCATTAGTACCTGATGGAGCAAAAACGTCCCCTGGCAGGGCAAGCCTGCTGTGTGGTCAACCACAGCTGGGATGTACCTATAAAAATAGAAATGCATGAGAAAGCAGTTAGATGGGATGCTTGTGCTGAGTGCCACCTCATCCGCAAGGTCCTCCCTGTCGCTACAGCCCCCATGGTCTCTGTTTCCCGTCTTCCTCACCATCTGGGCACTTCATCACATACTCATTTGCATTTAATAAACCTTTTCGCTTATCCACACCACATCACCCTCACTAGACCGAAGTGCTCACAGCACGGTAACATCCTTTGGCTCCATCCCATCCTCCTGCATGACAGATACTCCATAAATAAATGTACAACTGCAACAGGAGGTGTCAGGAGGGAAGAAAGGGATCGTTTCAGATTCTAGGTAGTGTTTAAGAATCAGAAAGCAATGAACTCAGTAGACACTATTACCACTGTAACTATGTCTCCCTCATAATGCAAGTTATAAACACATTATAGATCTGTCTACGGAAAGTACAATTTCTTAAAGCAATGTCACTATTGACAATTAAATACAGGACTGATGCAGCCATACTCTCACACAGAGTAGGAACTCAAAAAATGTTCCATGGAGCTGATCACGATGGCGGTACTCAGCATTATAAACAGAGGATCATCAGGGTAACATTTATTCCCTACCCCTTACGTGAACTGATAAAGCCCCTTGCCTCTGTTTCGAAATGGGATCTTTTCTGTGTGTTTTTCCAAGAGCATTTTAGAGACAACTGTGAACAACAATTATTTTCACCACTTACTCTAACACAGCTCACCCAGAGAAAGTAAGCTGATGTTGATTATTTTGATCTAGGTCAACAATCCTCAACTGGGGGTGATTTGCAATGTCTGAAGACATTTGTGGTTGGCACACTGGAGGGCCGGTGTTACCGGCATCTTGTGGGTAGAGGCCAGGGATGCGGCTCAATATCCTACAGGACAGCCCCCCCATGACAAAGGGTTATCCAGCCCAAAACAGTGCCGAGGTTGAGAAGCCCTGGTCTAAAGAATCATTCTGCCCCCAATCCTCTCACTGAGATTATTAAGGTTAAAGTCCTGACTATATTATGTGCAATATGCTTCTGACTCCCTTTGCTTTGCTGCTGACGGAATCCACTCTGTAAGTTTTCCTTCCTCATACAAACTGCCAGTCTCCATGTTCTTGGCTGTTGCTAATAAGAAGGCAAATTATTATTCTGGACAGTCACTTCTTTGACAAACATCTAATTCAAAGAATAATGCCAACACCACCAAAAATTCAATTCAAAACTGGAATTCAACAGTGACAATGATTCTTTAACCTGAATAAGAGGCGACTCAAAATTACATTTTTTTTTATTTTGAAAACTTAGCCTTTGTTTAAAAATTTAGAAAGTTGGACTTACTCTCCTGTAGGCTCCAGTTCACTGATCTCAAACCAAACCAGAAGATCATACTTGCTCATGCTCTGGCCAAGGCTGGTTTTGCTCATGGTGTTTAACTTGGTGGCTGGAACTTTTAAAAGTTTTTAGAAAATATCAAAATATGGTCCCAGTCTACTTAGTAAAAGCATAAGCTCTTCAAGGACACACTTGGGAAAGGTAACAAGAGTCGGGGTGAGATTTCAACGTAGAAGACCTAGATAAACGTCACCATCAACGACATCAGTGCCTCTAAATTCAGAGAACTGGGAAAATGGAGAGTTGGTATCTTTCTCCCTCTCACCAAACAGTATATCTAATAACAAGAAAACAGATTTTGTGCAGAGTAAATGTGCTCATAAAACCATTCAAAAACCTTCCTTAGACTCTCCTATTCTGTGGCATGTTGAGCATGGAAATGATGTGGGAGAGACAGTGTGGGCAGAGCCTCACACCTCACAGGGTCTCCTCAAAGCTGGAGTGCATGAGGGAAGACCCATGCTCCAGCCCAGTGGTTCCCAAACCTCCCTGCACATGGGATCTTTAAGCAGAGCCCAGGCAATTAAATGACAATCTCTATGGGTGGGACCCAGTCCTCTGAGAGGACTGAAACCCTTTCAGGTGATTCCAATGTGCCCATTCTCTGCTCAGAACCTGGGAGCACTGGAATGAGAGTCCAGTGACTTGGGATCTACTACTATTCAACCGCTGACTACTAGGCGACTTTGGTTGAGTCGCTTAATCTCTGGAAGTAGGTCTCCTCATCTACAAAAAGTAAATTAGAATATTTAGCCTGCAATCTTGAACAGGTTATCATGATGACCCACTGACACAAGGGATCTGGAAGGGCCTCATGACTCACACAGCCCTAGTCAAATGTTAGCCTATTTGCACTATTCACTCCAGCTGAATTCCACATGAGCTGGTGCTGCTAGTCAAGAAAAAATTAGTGTCACTGATTCTGGCGGTCATCTGAGGGCCAAAAAGCAAAATCAGAAGTATTAAAAACAAACAAACAAAAAAACCTCAACCCACCCACTGGTAAAAATCTTTAAAATTAAAGAACCATTGCTTATGGTTCTTTAGGGAGCTTATCAAAATCTGCAATAAGAAGACCAGAAAGTTGGCAGGGAAGGAGCCCTATCGTTTCTTACTTCTTATTTAAATCAGGAACCAAGAATTCCAGTTCCTGCTAGACACGGGAATATGGAAGGATACACAGGAGTGGAGCGGGCATGTAAAAATGATTTCTGTCTGAAAAGCCATCCAAATAAGAGCCCCGTCACCCAGAGAAGGGCTCACCTGGCTTGGAGAGCGGCATGGGCGGAGGGAAGAAGCGACGAGATGGCTGAGGCGGGCTGCAAAGGAAGGAAACAAAGTTCAAGGCTGAGAAAGGGTCTCATGTTGACAATAATGGCATGTTTAAATCCCCTCTAGAAACAGATCATTTGCACTTTCAGATAAGGCATAATATCAGACACCAGACATAATCCCACATAGTCAAACTGAGGCTCAGATATTTTAATGAAAGTCCCCTGTGGGTCCTAGCTAATAAGTGAAATACGAGAAATTTTCTGTTAACACTGACACTCTGCCATCACCCAAAAGCCCCCGTCGTTGCTCTCTTCACCAACTGTGATGTCTCCACTTATAGCTCATGCTTCCTGAAGTTCTGGGTAGTGAGGAACAATTACACACAATCCTTGTGTCTTATCACCTCACTTTCTATCCTGTTCAAAGTCTCTTCCTACAAAAGAGATGGTACGCCAGGTTAGCTGGGCAAAATTCAACGTGCTTTACCTATAGCTAGTGGTTCCGTGGCTTAGAAAAACGGTGGTGATGTTTCTAAAGAGGGAACATCAGGTAACAGAGAAAACTGTTCTTCAGTTATCTTAATCCCTTAAAAGATTTCTTCCTTCCGGACAAGTGGCAGTAAGAGTAACAAGAGCAACAACAGAATCTTTGCTTATCTGGTTCAAACCTGTTAAGTTCCTGTCCTTGCAGATGAAGTGGGTGCTGCTGATAATGCCCGAAGACTTCAAATACTATCGGTTTGGTTTTGATATAGTCCACAAATGATTCAGTGACCTCCACTGCAATCTAATAAGGAATAAAGCCAAACTAGATTAGGGAAAAATTTACTATAACAAACACACGTTTGCTGCAATCAGAACTTTAGCACTTTTGAGGAGCCAGTATGAGCTGGGTATTTGACTCAGCAGGCCTCCCACACCAAGACAGGGGCTCCTCCCTGGTTTTCATTCTAAAGCAACTTCACCAAGCTCCAGGCCTTCAAGACCTTCCGTCATCTGCCCCACCTGCTGCCCTTCACACACTTACTGTTTGGGCACAAATTCACCTGCTGCTCCTCTTGCCTGTGCTTTGCTCCCCTGTGGTGCCTGGGGACTGGACCAGGCAACAGCTCTGCCTGGAAGGCCTGCCCCCATCTCTGTGCTTCTAAGTCATTTCCATACTTCAAGGCCCCCATTTAATAGTAACAACAGTGAGAAAAACATGACTGTTGACCAGGCACCAGGTACAATATCAAGTATATGCTTCAGGAAGTTCCCCACCTTTCTCCACCCAACATAACTTAAATTAATGGAAATAACCTTCCCTTCTTTCTTACTCCCTTTGCATTTAAGGAATACCTTTCTGGATCGTGTGCTACTGCTGCTTAAATATTCATTTTATTTCCCCTAAGCTCTTCGGGGGCATGATCCTCTGTGATTCATCCTTACTCCCCAGACATGTCAGGCACAGTCCTTGTGCACATTATCCCAGTGAGTATTTATCAGATACGTGCATGCTTATATTCATGCAATTAAACCTAAAAAAGAAAAGTTTTGTGTTTGCTGTTCCATTTTCAGTGTTGTCCTTTCTGCCTGCACTTTAGAGAGTGGATATGGTTAGCAAGAGAATTAGAGTGTTTCATGTCATGGTGAAGATCCTGGATACCAGAGCCACATTGCTCTGGCTTAAACCCCATCTCCGCCTCTTCCTAACTCTGTCCCCCTGGTGAGTGACTTTAACTGTTCTGTGCCTGTTATCTCAGCTGTCATATGGGGGTTATGAGGGTCTATACTATAAAGGTAAGGAGTAAATGAATGAAGACACAAAAAAGGCATTTGGAACAGTGACTGACACGAAATAAGCTCTCAAAGAATGTTAGCTATTGTGATGAGGATGATGACTTTGAACAGAGTTTGGGTGACCCTTCCTAGAAGAGACGGAAGGCCAGTTGTCTTATTCCACAAATGAGAGCTCTAAGGGGCACTCATGGATTCATCATACTATCAGCTGCAAGGAAAAGAGACTGAATCTTAATTTAGCTACAAAAGATCATTTTAATTTTTTCTACAACTGAGCAATCTAAGTATCTTATAGCTTAAAGGACAATAGATTAACTTTAACAAAACTCATATTAAATGCACTTATTTTTCTAGGATGGAAACACTAAAAACAACTCACTGCATTCAAACTGATGGAACATTTTATTGGCAGCCCAACCCCCACACACTCATGGGGCCCACTGTAACTCCGAGAAGGCTGGCCACTCAGTCCACTGAGGATTACCTCACCGCTCTGGCCACTCCCTCCATTGTCTATTTTCACCACAAAGCAGCTTGGATAATCCTCCTTCCAGGGCTGAGAAAGCCAAAGGCCACCCACACAGGATGACTGCCTAACACTGGCCTCTCAGACAGCCCCCAGACCTGCAATGCGTTTGGCAAAAACGTCCATGTCACTTACATTCTGCACGTGATAAAAGCCCAGAGGACTTCCTCTGCCGTTGTTTTTGAGGGGTTCAGTGGAGAATGCTTCGTCATGGCGATGCAAAAAGCTTAATTAAAAAAATAAGACACATGAACTTTGCATTACACAATTTCATCAAGATCTATGTTTTAAGAACCTGACTTGGAGGGGTGCTTGGGTGACTTAGTCAGTTAAAACGTCCGACTCTTGATTTCAGCTCAGGTCATGATCTCGGGGTCGTGAGACAGAGGCCTGAGCTGGGCAGGGAGCCTGCTTAAGAGTCTTTCTCTCCTTCTGTCCCCTCCGACCACCCTGCTTAAAAAAAAAAAAAAAAAAAAAAGAACCTGACTTGGAAAGAAGCAGCCTACTTAAGCACAGTCTTTAACTGAACCAAGTAATTTGTAGTTCCTTGTAATAATACATTTTCCATTATCACTCAAACAGCATTTTAGATTTTATTTCAAAAATGACTGAAAGATAACTGACCCTGACCACTTAGCTATGTGGACACATATGCAAGAGTATCTCAGAGAGCATCAAGAGTGAATTCAGTGAATTCCTGTTTCTTTGTAGGAACATTTTTTACTGAGAATAAAAATTATGAAATCATTTTGTGCAGAAAAGATCTGGCAGATTCAAGCTTCCATAAGGTAGTATGAAAGCCTGTTAGTGTTCTTGCCTAGGAGAGTCTCTGATGACCTGCAAAGATTAGATTTAAATGTCACCTCTTCCAGGAAGTCTTCCCTAACTCACCCAAACAGTTGTGTCTTCCCACAGCACTAGGGACCCATTTCTCTTCAATAGCAATGGTTTCACTCTTTTTTTTTTTTTTTAAGATTTTATTTATTTATTTGACAGAGAGAGACACAGCGAGAGAGGGAACACAAGCAGGGGGAGTAGGAAAGAGAGAAGCAGGCTTCCCGCCGAGCAGGGAGCCCAATGCGGGGCTTGATCCCAGGACCCTGAGATCATGACCTGAGCTGAAGGCAGTCGCTTAACCAACTGAGCCACCCAGGCGCCCTGCAATGGTTTCACTCTTTATGATAATGTATTTATATGCCTGTCTCCCCGAAAGACAGCAGGTATCTCCTATAGTTCTCCAGATATAGAAGATACTTCTGAGATACTTGTGAGGCAACAGACTATGTTTATTATTCTCACAGATAGTGAGTTTTTACTTCTCTCTCCCTCCCTATTAGTCTGAAATAAACAGAAGTAGAAAATTAAGAATACTGAATACAAAGATTTACTCCCAGACAGAAATATCCATCAGAAGGACATCCCACACCCCACAAGAGAAAAGGGGGAAAAAGGGAATACTTTGCATAGGGTAGAGAAACCAGGATTATGAACTCCCTGTCTTCTAAATCAGTTCACTGAGTCTGAGGACAGTGGAGTGCTCTTGTCCCACATTCCCCATCCCAGATGCCACCTGTTACGAGCACCGAAGCAGTCTGTACTACACGTACCTTCTTCTATTTGCTTTCTTTCCTCTCATTCTTCTTACCCCCCGCCCCCCTCCTTTTTGTTCTTTTTTTTTTTTTCCAAGATTTTATTTATTTGAGAGAGGGAGAGAGCTCATGAGAGAGCACGACCCAAGCTGAAGGCAGACGTTCAACTGACTGAGCCACCCAGGTGCCCCTCTCCTTCTTGTATTTCTTACTCTTTTTTTTCCTCTCCAGACCATAAGCTGTTTCTGCCGGGGGCATTACTTGATTTGTGATCTACACTCCTCCAATGCTCTGCTTAGAGCAGGTACAAATATCCTGGGGTTCCACAATGGTGATGCATGAAATCATTCATACTGCCCGACAGCTGTGTCTTCTCTACACAGGCCAGATGAGAGTTTGTAAAAGCTCAAGAAGAATCTGGCCCTTCTTTCAATATGAGTCAACATTCCGTCTTCTCCACAGCTGACACCAGGTGGAGATGCTGCTCTCTTGCTGGAGATTTTAGGACAAAATATCAACGTAACATTACTGGCATTTCACATGCCAGTTAACCAAGTAGGTCTTTTCCATAAAATATTTCAGTTGCAGGGCGCCTGGGTGGCTCAGTCGGTTAAGCCTTCAGCTCAGGTAATGATCTCGGGGTCCTGGGATTGAGCCCCACGTTAGGTTCCCTGCTCAGCAGGGAGTCTGCTTCTCCCCTTCCCTCTGCTCATTCCCTCTCTCTCAAATAAATAAAATCTTTTTTTTTTTTTTAAAGATTTTATTT